TATATGTTATATATTTATATAGTGTATATACATATATACATATATATATATATATATATACATACATATATATACATACGTATATATAGGTATATATATGTATACGCGTACATATATATATATGTATATATATATACATATAAATATACATATACATATACATATACATATACATATACACATACATATACACATACACATATACACAGTGTATACATACATATTTAATTAGATATAAGTATATAAATATATATACATATGCATCTAAAACATATACATACATGTACATATACATATACACACATACACATATACACATGCATACATATATACATTTATATATACTCATACATACACACACATATACACACACACATATATATATAGATATATACATACATGCACACACACACACACACACACACACACACACACACACACACACACACACACATATATATATATATATATATATATACGTATATATCTATAGATTCATATATACATATATACATTAATTTATTGTACATATCAACATTCGTATGTATGTATATATATTTATATAATTAGATAAGATTTTATAAATCGATATAAATTTATACCACATAGCGATAGCGAGGAGATTCAAAATGTCCGAGTATGTACTCGAGAGATGTAGAACTGGAACGTTTTCCAATGCTCCTTGTATCCTGCAACAGTACTGTCGTATTACCAGCTCGATGGGTCATTCGGTGCCGATCTGGTGAGAAATTGTATTCACCTGATGGTGCAAGTGCGTTGGCTGGAGCTCGATTTTGAGTGTGGAGCTGAAGATGCATTGGAGGTGCGAAAACTGGAGGATGAAAGAATCGTATGTGTGGACTTTTTCGACGGACAGTATGCACATGTCTTGTCGTGTGTTGAATTAGTATTAACTGGCGCTGCGTTCTGTTGGACGCGTGCGTGACGTGTCTGACACAATTTAGCCACATTCACCTAGCAACCGCTGATATTCTAATTAAATCTCAATTATATATTGTGCCACATCGCAAATATATACTCTGAAACCCATTTGCGCGAACCAGAATGTTGAAGAAGATTTGTACGGTGTCTACCAATGGGATGACTACGATGAGGTATGTAAAAGTGTGTAGTCGATTGCTTGGTCCTCCCCATTCAAGTGGATTTCGCAGTAGTAGATCAATATACGACCTTATTTATGGATAGTTGATCTACTATAGATATCGTCATAATCTACTGCATATATTATCACTATGCTAACGCTAGGCTTCAATGTTTTTTGACAGGAGTTCGATATGAATAATTTCGCACCTGGTCATGGTAAATCAGGCCGTCGTCGAAAGTCGGAAGCAGGTAAGATAGTGGAACGTCTGGTCATGTGTCCCATATGCCATTTTATGGTCTATATACCTTCTTATTGTACTCAGTTGCATTTACAATACAAAAACGCGTGCCTGGCTAACTTCAGTGTAAGTATTGATGAAGATTTAATTGAAACTCAATGCACAAATAACTGATCACAGCTAGGTCGTGTTTCTGGATTTTAAAACAATGCACAAACAATATGGCGTATATCTCACTTGTCATAGGATGTGTTTCTGTGGAGCCATTCCGTGGCAACAATCATCGGAGAAGATCCGACAATTGGAATAAGAATAAAGTGGCTCCGGCCGCAAACTCCAATGCGGCGAGTGTACCACCTAAGTTGGGACGACGTGCGATGAGAGCTTTGCAGCGCAAGTTGGCGGATGCCGCTGCTGTATAAGTAGTCACGGTATTCTCTTCATGTACTGAGGAAATATCGGAGGGTGTAATTGTTATGTATGTATCCACAATTCCAATTTGAGTGCAAGGTCAACGCCGGCATGCTGTGCGAACTGAAAAATAAACAATACAAACCGAAACAGGTATGCCTACTCAACTTTAGTCCTTTTAAATTGAAACTCAGTGTTACAGTGTTTCAGTGGTAGTGTTATGTACTATATACTTAGATTCCTTTTTTTTTTGAAAGTATGTATTTAGTATGTAGGAGTAGCTAGTAAGTAGTATGTAGTAGTAGGATATATTTAAAAAACAATAACAATAGTTGCTGTCAGAGATACCAAGTTTCAATTGGGCAAGTATGTTTTGGCACATTTTAGCGAGACACGCTTTTAGTCGGGGACTCTTAAGACTACGGCTGGTATTTAGTCACTATTTTTGTTTAAAATACTTATTACTACTCGGACGACGGACAGTCCTTTAGTCCAAGTCGTAGGTTCGGAGCCTCGTAGGTATAATACGGTCTTTTTGCAGTACCATAGCCGGTGTGAGACTGTGAACTTGTGAAGTGTGAACTCGAGTTGTGAAGGGCGAGAGTTGAGACTGCGAAGCGCGAGCGCGAGCCCCGAGGCCGAGGGCCGAGGGCCGAGGCCTTGGACCTAAGACAAAAGAATTTCTCGACACTGATCAGTGATATATATGTCAAATAAATACAGTGATTTTATCACCAATACATAACGTGGTAATTATTTTTTAAAGAAAGAAAACTACCCCAAGCCCAACCCCAAGCCCCAGGGGCCAGGGCCCTTTAAAAAAAATAGAAAGATGCTGAAACCTGAAAGTCGAGTTTACGACAGACTGTATTTATTTTAAATATTTATTTTAATTTTAAAACGCTAAAAAATAAGAAGCCCTGAGGCCTCGGCGGCTGAGCCTCGCTTCCCTGAGGCCCTGTGATTTTAAGTTCTAAAAATAGAATAAAAATTCCTGAGAACCTTGATGGAAAGTAAAAACTCTACTAGAGAGAGAGGAGCCCGCGCCTGGCCTCAGACTCAGAGGCTCAGCATCAGTGGCCTGGCGCTGCTGGCAGGAGAGCGGACCGAAATAGATTTGGTACGCAGTGCAAACATCCGAATTCTATAAATAACATAAAAAGGCAGCCAATCACCGGACGCGCCTCACGAGTAGTCCGCAAAACAAATACACAGAGTGTAAATAAATACAAAGCGACACGGTACGGTAAGTGAAAAATCAGCTAGCAGCTTACCATCAAGGGTACGTGTGTATCATGTGTATGACTGTGTGAGCTACGGATGTATGTGCCTGGTGTGCCTGATGTGTGGCTGCGGGCTGCGGGCTGCGTGTGCGAAACAAGTGTAGGGGTTGATTGAGTTTTATCTAGGTCTTAACCTACGCATATATAATTTCCTTCCATTGCCTTCCTCGTCTGGTTCTTAATCTACACGTTTTGTCGAGTTTCGTGCGCATACCTCAGCTGTATTATGAGATTCTAGCGTTATATGCCGTGATCTCCCTGTAGACTCTTGCAAGTGTTGCACTGAGTGGTAATTTCTTAGGGTTGTCTGTCTGTGATCGTCGAGCGAAAACTCCGCACGTTAACTTATATGCTTTGAACTTCGCGGATGTTTTATTTAAAAATATGTGAGCGAGGAAGACCTTTGCTTCCAGAAATACTGCTCGAAAGATACTATAGTTGCGTTGTACTGATGAACTTTTTTATGTATATCAGGGTGTCTTTCAGTTCAGTACACGAATACTCGCACAAATATACCTACATCTGTATCATAACGTACATTCTCAACCGAAAGGAGCATCGTTTCTTCCATCCACGTAAAATAACTCGAATCGCCTCGTGTAGTCATCGCAACACATTCCACCACAGACTCACCATTCATTCGTTACTAACGAGGTCGTTTCTCATATCGAGATACACAGCTCTTCGAACACATGTTTAAATATGGTATAGCCCTGTATTATAGCAAGAAGCATTTGAAGTACCATGACTGTTCGATCAACACCTAGACTCGCTTACTTACATATTCCAACACTTGTTTACAATTACAGAAATCTGCGACATGACCATGAAATCTCGTTTAGATAATCCAGTACACGTGCACTTACTGAACTCTGCAATATAGATATATATATACATATATATATAGATATATATATATATATATATCAATTTCTCGTAGATATTTCACTACACATACTTACACATACTAGGCTCTAAAATAGACAGACAAACAATCCCGGTTAGATAACTTAATACACACACTTGCACTTTCTGAAATATGCACATAAAAATTTCTTTTAGATATTCCACCACACACTTACACTTAACACACGCTTACACCTACAGAAATCTGCAATATGTCCGTTGAATGGCAATCTGGAGTCGTTAAGAGTGTCACTTCGGGTGATACGGTTGTCATCAGAGGTACCCCACAGAAGGGACCTCCTTCTGAACGCACACTGTGCCTAGCTGGCGTGCAGGCTCCTCGTTTGGGTCTACGTCCCCGTACGGAGAACGAGACCACCACCGATGAGGTAAGGATTTCGCGGATTTCTCCTGCAGGTTCATTGAAGTGTCAATTAAATTGTTTTTATATGTACGGAATAGTGTGTATGCCAAGTCGGTTTCGTGTCCAAGAAGTGTATGTAGGCTCAAGTGTGCTTGGTGTGTGCGTATGTATCTGACTCCGTGTACGTTCCTGCCAGTTTCGCATCGTTGAGCGTGTACTGAAGAAGTTTGTAGTGCAAAAGAGACTTAAAGCACACTATATGGCAAGTGATGATATATTCTTTCTTAAAGTGATATTCTGTGTAGCTTATTCTGAGTAGCTCAGCTTGCTGGTTGCTATAGAAACAAAGCACCAACCTCGGCCAACCCCAGGGCATAAGCCTATTTCCGCACACATCGCACACTGCTCAGAAGTACACTTCCTCTGCTCGGTGGTGACCTGTTTGTGTTTGTCGCGTTCTTCGGAAAGTGCCAGACACCGCAGGCGCGTGTGCTAGATTGAATCCTAATTTCTCTTTGCCTTAGCGCGAGATCGGCTTTGGGGGCGCTCGCGCTTTCTATACCGATCTCTGCGTCTTCCTTCGTGAAATACATATAATTCCATACCGTTAGTAGTGTCCGTATTATCTCGCGGTGCTGTATGTGTGCTCGGTAAAAATACCCGTTTTTCCCACGCTACTCGGATGTGACGTGTATCAAGCTGCGCTGCTTCTGTGCTGTATCCACTTACACTATTTACTTATAGGTGTTTATTGGGTATGTCCGTATGTTTTGTTGTATATGTCGGTTTATTTGGTGCGTTGCCTGGCAACGTTTCCTGATTACCCCAATGTTTTGCCGTCAGTGTTGATATATCCCCCCATGTATCGCCTTGTCCGGTTTATGTACTTTGCAAGGCATACCTGTTCTATCTCGAGTGTATTCTATTTTGAATCTACCACAACGTGCCGTGCCAGTGCAGCTATGGAGCGCAATTGATTCCGCAGCAATCCAGGGACTGTTATTCATGCCATGCGTGGCTTGTATCTAGAATCGTCTTCCTACACGCCTCTATATTATTTGTACCTCACGATGTTTTTATCATTTGTACTTTAATATATGTTGTCAATCATTCATACTCTTGTATGAATTTGTCAATCATTCATACTCCTATATGAATTTATCAATCATTCATACTCTTGTATGAATTTTTCAATCATTCATACTCTTATTTCTGTACTAATCATTTATTCATACTTAACCTGGTACATCTCTGCATCCTTTAGCCATACGCCTGGGAGAGTCGCGATGCCCTGCGTACTCTGCTGATCGGCAAGCCCGTGCGCTTCTGCGTGGACTACCACGTGGCCACCATTGGGCGCGAGTTCGGTCGCTTGACTCTTCAGGATAAGGATGTAACCCAGCATCTGGTGCGTGAAGGTGCGCTCAAGACCCGTCAGGGTCCTCAGACCAACGAGGACTTCGACACGCTTGTGGCGCTTGAGGAGCAGGCCAAGAACGCGCAGAAGGGCGTGTGGTCGTCGCGCGCTGCCAGCTGCATTCGCAAGGTCACGTGGAACGTGGACAATCCTCAGTCCCTGGTTGACCCTACCAAGACATACGATGCCTTTGTGGAGCAGGTGCGTGATGGCTCCACCGTGCGTGTGTTCTTGCTGCCCAGCTTCCAGTACGTCACCATCCAGCTGGCCGGTATCAAGTGCCCCGGGTTCAAGACCAACCAGGCCGATCCCTACGCCGCCGAGGCCAGGTACTTTGTGGAGTCGCGTCTGCTGCAGCGCAACGTCAAGGTGACCCTGCTAGGTGTGACCAACAACAACTTCCTGGGTACCGTACGCCACCAGAAGAAAGGCGACATCACCGAGGCCATTGTGCGCGAGGGTATGGCTCGTGTGGTGGACTGGAGTCTCAATGTGCTGCCCAACGGCAAGGAGGCCATCCGCGCTGCCGAGGCACAGGTCAGTGAGGCGATGCATGGGGATGTGGTGTTTGTATTATGCATGATATGATGTTTGTGTTATGTAGGAGTGTTTGATGGAGTATAATAATGGGCGGTGAGAATATGTATGGTATGACTACCAATTGCGACGTGTTGGCGATCCGTTTGGCTGTGTGATGAAGTTTACTGCTGTGCTGCGCCGCGAGTCTGTCAGGGTGAGGAATGTCAGTCAGTGCTCAACAGTGGAGTAGACGATTCACGGTTCAGCCCTCAGCTTCCTTGTGGGTGCCCTGTCGCATACTGTTTAATGTTGCCGGTTGCAATACTTGCCTGTAACCGTAGGCTCTAATGCATGAGGTTGTGTGTGGTCTCAGCTGCTGATGTGCGTGATATGAATTGCGGCCTAGCGGGTTCTTGTCAATGGTGACATCAATGGTCTTATATATTCACTTATCTTATCATCTCTTTGATCGTGCACTGCTTTGTTGCCTACACCGTTGCTTGTTCCGTTCCGTTAGCTTTACGTCCTGACAACATATGTAATCCGCGTAGGATTACGGGCAAGCGCCTCCAGCTTTCCCGGCCTAGTACACTGCCGCCAAGACTAGGACAGTTGACCACTAAATTTCTCTGGCACCCCGGACTATCTTTTAGCGGTTATAAACTTCAGAGATATAATTAAATCAGAGCATGTTGTGAGCGTCGCGAATAGGCACTCACGTTTGTGCTTTTTCATACCTGTCTACGGCACATGTGTGCTTACTGTCACTTCCAACCCTGCTCCTGACACATCACCACTCCGCATCCATCCATAGGCCAAGGAGAAGCGTCTGCGTCTGTTCCACAGCTACGTTGCTGCTAATGCCGGCGTTACCGGAGAGAAGGACTTCCAGGCCAAGGTAGTGGAGATCTCCAACCCCGAGACCATTGTGGTGCTGAAGGCCGATGGCTCCAAGGTCAAGCTTACGCTGTCGAGTATCCGTTCCCCCAAGATGCCCGAGGGAGAGGACCGACCCAAGTCCAGTAACGATATCCCCTTCATGTTTGACGCACGCGAGTTCCTGCGTAAGCGTGTGATGGGCAAGAAGGTGCACTGTCTCATCGACTACGTCAAGCCCGGAACCGATGGATACCCAGAGAAGGTGTGCGCAACCGTGCTTACCAGTGACAAGCAGAACGTTGCCGAGGCCCTGTTGAGTAAAGGTTTTGCTACCTTGGTGAAGTACAAGCCTGATGACGAGGCGCGTAGTTCACAATACGATTTGCTATACACAGCCGAGGCTCGCGCCGTGGAACAGAATCGAGGTCTGCACAAGAAGGGTAACGAAAACTACACAAAGCCTATTGATCTGAGCACGGAGAAGGAGAGGGCCAAGGCATTCTTCGGGTCATACCAGAGAGCCGGAAAGTGCGAGGGAGTTGTGGATTATGTCATTAACGCGTCGAGGTTTAAGCTATACGTACCCAAAGATAACATCATGGTTGTGTTCCTGCTTGCGGGCATCAACGTACCACGAACGGGTCGTAAAGGAGAGGAGTCTGAGCCATATGCAGAGGACGCCTCGAGATATATTAAGGATAACGCACTACAACACGATGTGCAGTTCACGGTCGAGTCACAAGATCGCATGGGTAATTTCATTGGTAGTGCATATGTCAACGGTTTAAATCTGGCGTTGGCTTTGGTAGAGGTTGGGTTCGCGTCGGTACACTCTGGGAGCGCGCATCGCCTTCCCTACGGCTCGGAATTAGAAGCGGCTGAGAAGGTAGCAAAGGAGAAGCGAATTGGTATCTGGACCAACTACGTTGAACCCAAGGCCGAGGAGAAGGTGGAGGATGGGCCCAAGGAGCGCAAGGTTACCTACACGCCTGTAGTTGTGAGTGAAGTCACGTCCGCCAACCAGGTTTACGTACAGACTGTGCCGCAATCAGAGACAGCCGACAAGTTCCTAAAGGACCTGAACGCACACTTTGAGGCCAACCCACCCAAGACCGGATACACCCCGGCGAAGGGCGAACGTATTGCCGCCAAATTCAGTGATGATGACTGTTGGTACAGAGCCATCTCCAAGGGACCTTCCGCGGATGGCAAGAGCCACACCGTGACCTTCATCGATTACGGTAACTCTGAGAATGTGCTCCCAGAGAACATTGCGGATCTGCCCTCTGATTTCACAGCCGCTAAGGAGTGCGCCAGATCTGTGAATCTAGCGTGTATTAAGGTGTGTTTTAGAATTGGATAAACGCACACAACTTATCGCACGTGTTACTTTTTTTCTCGAGTATCATGATTTGCAGACGGATAGTTGCCTACTGTATTTAAGATTTGTGACCAGTCTTATTGTGTATTCATGTTATGACTTGACGGTCTATGACCAGTACGATTCTCTTTTCCGCATAAAGCTAACAATCTGTCTGTACCACTTTCTTCTCAGGTGCCTGCTGACGAGGACTGGGTGGAAGAGGCACGTCTGTTTATGTTGGAGGGGATTCTCAACCGCACTTACAACATGAACGTTGAGTACCAAGAGGATGGCAAGGACTATGTGACCCTTGTAGACCCAGAGGCGCAGGCCGATGTAGGTAAGACTATGCTGGCAGCTGGATTCGTGCTGGTGGAGTCACGCCGCGAGCCCAAACTACGCAAGCTAATCACTGAGTACAAAACTAGTCTGGACCACGCCCGCGAGAACAGGTATGGCCGAGCTGTTTATTTTTTAAAAGCTGAGACTCGTGTAGTTAATTGTTGTTTTCCAATTGTTACACACTTGTATGTCTACAAGGATTGTTTATTGATTTGAAATATTGTGGTTACGTGAATATAATTAATGGTTTGCAGTTGTTGCGCACTTGTATGTTGTTTGTTTATTGATTTGGATACTATCGTTACGTAAATATAAGAGATGTTTTGCAATTCTTACACTTTTGTACGTCTTTATGATTTGTTTATTGATTTTAAATGCTATGGTGTCTTAAAGGGTTATTTAATGCTTTGAAATACTATGGTTACGTGAATATTTTGCATATCTTAAAGGGGTTTCAGTGCTTTGAAATACTATGGTTAAGTATATATAATTAACTTTTTGCAACTGTTGCAGGCGTTTATGTCTTGCTTCTGATTTGAAATTCTACATACAGTAACGTGAATATAATTAATGTTTTTCCTATTGTTTTACACTGTGTCTTTATTTTGTTCAGGGTTGTGCATTGATTTGAAATACTATTATTTACTATGTAAATATTTAAATATAATTTAATCATTCTCGAATGCTATAGGTGTATGTTTTCATTTTTGTGCATAGTCATGTTTGTTTATTGATTTGAGATACGATGGCCATGTAAATATATTCAATGCTTTGCAATTGTTTTACAGATGTATCATACAATATTTGTAACTTGTTTGGTTTTGTTTATTTGAAATTCGAAATACTATCTATAGGTCTGCACAGTTTTTACAATCAAATGCTTTTTTTCTCTCTCATTCAATTTCAACTGTTCAAAACCGCACGTTCACAAGTCCAGGATAAATGCAAGAATGTGTTGTAAAATTACGTATTAAGAACACCATTCACGAAGCGAAAACAAAGAGCCCTACTGATTTGCACAATTGAATCTTTACAGACGTAACATCTGGCAGTATGGTGATTTTGAAGGTGAAGAGGCGCTTGATTTCGGTTACACTGCCCCCGCAGAGAAAGGCAGCAAGAAATAGTCAGTATGCTATAAAAGGCTAAAATAAAATAAAAACTTCTTGAAGTTAACGAACAAGAGCGCACGGCTCTCACGGGCGGGCCACCAACTCCTATTCGGTGATAAATAGAACGTGTGAAACTTCAAAACTGTGTAGTCAACTGGTTTGGATCTAGCTTAGTATTCAGCTACATAGATTGTTTTAGAATATCAAATTTTTATATTGCACGCGTGATAAACCCCAGCGAACCGTGTGATATTGTGATGTTTGCACGTGAACATATTTGCTTGAATTTTTTTCTGTGCGACGGAAGCCTGACAGTATGTGATAAGTGACCAGTAGTCCAGTACTGACCTGGTTTGTGAAAAACCTGTGAATGAGGGCATTTTCACTAAACTGATGTTGTTCTCCAATAGAATGTTGGGATCCAATCCGCTGAGCTAAGCAGTTTTCATTTGTGGGAGGCAATGAGTATCGGCACGTTTTTATTTCCAAAATATTACATTCCGCAGTCCGCGGCTCCGGCGCTCCGCACAAAGCCAATTTCAACTTCAAGATTTTTAAATTTATAAATTAACAAAAACAATATACATTTAAAAAAAATCTAGACGAGTCAATCTTCATAAAAGCACTAGCCACAAAAGCATGTTTTGTATCAACGTCCCTCAACTATCAATATCAATTCAATAAAAATAAAAATTTATTTTAGGCCCCCCCTCCTTTCTTTAAAACCATCGCGCCGTCGTCACTCTTTCGGTGAGGCTCTGCTCAGTGAAGTGATTCGCCTGATGAGCGATGAGCGATGTGGAGTGCAGCTTTTTGATATAAGTATTACCCAGGTCCCAGCTTCGCAAGTTCGCATTCGCAAATGATCAAATCGCAACAGGCAGCATGATTTTTATTATTTATATATATATATATATAAATAGAACTCGTGTTTTCTTGAAATACTCTTCCACAATATATTTTTCTCCAGGTTTATTTTTGTCCCAGTCCCTGACTTCCATAGGGCCATAGAGTCCAAACTTTCATAAACTTCCAGCCTACCAAGTTCCAGGCCAGTTCCAAAGTTCCAAAGTCCCAGCTGATGCAGCTGAGCCCTGAACCTGCTCACTGCTGGCCTGTTGTTAAAATTCAATAAAAAATGCGCCAAATTCGTACCAGTGCGAGCCCCGCAAAATACCCTATATTTCTAATCAGGACTTCAAGTCTTCAGCCGAAGACTTCAGGTCTTAGGAGAGCTTAATCGCTGACGACTTTCCGGTTGGGGCCAGTCTGCCCAGTCATGAGTCAAGACTCAAGACTCAGGTGGGAGTCAGGGAGTCAGGGGTGTGATAAAGTGTGTGAGGGAACTGGGAACTGATGAGGAAGAGTGATAAAATCAGGCAGCCAGAGCCCAGAGGGCTGAGGGCTAAGGCCAGGAGGGCCTGATGACTGATGTCCTCCTGGAGTCCTGTAGGGAATGTGGGCTGTGAACTGTGAACTGTGTGGGCCTGTAGCCTGAAGGCTCGGAAGTCAGAACTCATAGCTGAGGGCGGAGGGCTGAGAGGGCTGGTCGAGGCCCTGTCCGGCTGGGCTGGGGGTCTCGCGAGTGACTGCTGGGGGCCCCGCGAGTGACTGAGTCCCCCTGCTTACTGACAGACCGACAGAGTGGCAGCAGGCAGACTGACAGTTCGTCTAATAGTGTCTTACTACTCTTCTCACTCGCTCTCCTTGATTCAATGGCGTTGCCGCGTTGTTCCTTCACCTAAATGGGCCATTTATATCGTTCGGAGTTCGGACGTACAAATTGCTGTAATGAATGACTCATTCTTTAATTGGTGTGTTTGACACGTTCTGAAGTCCTTTTGTGTTTTTATTTCAGAAACCACACACAAATGCCTACGAATTCCCACAGAACTGCAGGGCGATCTGTCTGATCTGCACAGTGCACCAGCTTTGAGTTTTTTTGGACCAATTTATTTTTTTGACCAACATCACGCGGGGGCTGAATTCTTAAAAAAAATTTACCCGTGAGGCGGCGTGAATCACCGGAGGTCGGATTTTCGTGAAAGTTTTTGTATCGATCTATTTTTTAGTTGTTTTATTTTTGTTTTTTTATAAAACTTTCTTCATGATACTACATATTGTACTGTCAATGACTCAATGTTGCAGTGATATTTCGCTTTAGATTCTATATACTGTGGCCACCGAAGTGTTCAGTATGGCATATTTGTGCAATCAATCTCTAGACGATCATTAATCACTAACAAATTGCAATACTAATTACAGCAGTACACTGCCAATAAATCTAAAGCGTGTATTACATAGCTTGGTAAATAACTTGTCTTCTAGATATCATTTAGCTGCACCTACGTAGACTATCATAGATATCGAATTCAGACATAGCGTATTCAGCAATAGAAAAATACTGATATGGGCTCAAAGCGCATTATGGACTGGTTCGGTGGCTACTGGTCCGACTACCGAAGCACTACGGAAGATATAGCACAGAAAACTACAGCAAACAACATTGAAGAGTTGGGGAAGATGGACAATATACCTTACATGAAAATACAGACACAAGAGAATACCGAGAATAGTAACCCGCCAGTAGAAACCAATGTGACAAAGATCACTGCAAAGAACCCTAAATTACTTTCTCAAGTTATGAGTGTCCCCGATCTTTCGAATATGAAAAGTACTAGTCACTGGAACAAACGACGGGACTTTAAAGAGCTTCTTCGCGAATACCTTGTTGTGCAGACACTGAGCGAAGGCAGTACGGCCGAGGTGTTCCTAGCCGAAGAAAGAGCCACTGGCAAGTTGGTTATTATCAAAGAACAGTTACTGGAGAAGCGAGACCGGAAGATGGTTCACAGAGAAGCCTGCATACACAGCCGGTTGCAGCATCCCAACATCGTAGAACTGTACTCAACGGCTAAAAATCAAAAGGTCATGGTGTTGCTGCAGGAGTATGTAGGCGGAGGTGAGCTATTTGATGCTGTCATACCGGACATTGGTGTACACCCAATGCGTGTTCGGAGCTATTTGCTACAACTCGTATCAGCCATCAAATACTTGCACAACTTAGGCATCGCACATAGAGACATTAAACCCGAGAATGTGTGCCTGGATTCGAGTAAGGAGATTCCAAAACTGATTGATTTTGGCCTGTCCGAGTACGTTTCTGAGGAGCCCGGTGCCGTCTATAAACGCCATGTGGGCACCGTACCATACATGGCCGCCGAACTTTGGCTTGATGTGGAGGCCACACACATAGATGTGGACATCGTGGCTACAGATGTATGGGCGTTAGGAATCATGTTGTTCTGTATGCTTGCCGGTCGTTTTCCCTGGGGCGAGGCTTCATTGCGCAGTAAAGAATATCAACGGTACTTGAAGGGTGACTTCTCGCGGAAACCCTGGAAATCAATACCCGAGGTTCAGCTTACACTTCTAAGACACATGCTGGACGTCGATCCTAGGACTAGGTGGAACATTGTCGAGGTGGAACAATATATTCTTACTAGATGGGCGCCTGTGCGTGTACCGTCACCATCGAAATTGCATGCCCCGGTACCTCAAGTTCTAGCCCCGGTACCTCAAGTTCTAATGGGACATGCAGATCTCACGACGGCACAACACTCGGGTAACAACACCAATATATCACACAGTGAGATTGTGAGCGCTACTGAGAGCGGCGACTTCGAAAATACAATCGCGTCGGCAAGGACTACTATCGAGCACCCTTCCCCTTTAATGGGTGGTTTTCCACAGACATCGGATTCTTCTGGGCTAAATATGGTGGGTGTGGGAAATGTCAAAAGTGTGCAGAGCCTGCACGCAGGCAGCCACAAGGATAGTACGGCGAATTGGGTCAGAGACCAGGCCAGAAATTAGAGGAAAATCAGCCCATAGTATTTTTCTGGGCGAGTCCAAAAAAAACGGATACCGGTTCACAATGAAGTACCAAAAATTTAGTAATTATTAGGTGACACAGACTCGCAGTGCTGTGATGGTATTAGTACGCTGCTCACTTGTACATATCTTCGAGTCTGTGCTCGTGGGGCGTGAATAAGGTTGACAATAAAGTAGGGAATATAACAAGCATGTCTTAATTGCAGTGAATATGATAAGCATTTTTTAATTGTAGAGAATATAACAAGCGCTTAATTGTTGGGATATAACAAGCATTTCTTAAATGCGAGATGATTGGAGATGATTGGACTTTTGAAATTTGAATTGAGTCGACGACGCAGGACGTTGTTGTCTATTGTGTTCTCTTTCAGTAGCCACTTCAGACTAGTGAAGTCTTTTTCCTCAGTTGAATAAATCTGCAAAATCAATGTCTGTATGCTATATCCATATCTATATCTATATGTATATATAT